AAAAATTTTAAATTGATATTTATTGATTAGTAAAACAGTCAATAAATTTAGAGTTAAAACAATTTTTTTAATATAAGTATTTTATATAAAATTTTGTTCTCCTAACTAATAAATTCTTTGAAGTATGTAATTTCAATATACTTCTTTATACTTCATAAATGTATTTTATTAAGATTTCTTAAAGAAACTGAAGAGATTTAAAGTTTTGCAAATTTCTCTTTCTTCAGGCGTGTGATTGAATTATAAACAAGATTAAATTACTTGGAAGTAATTCATTAATACACCACATTTCAATAGGCTTTGAAATATTTTATTTGTTCTCCTGCAACAAGTTTTAATAAATTATTATATATTCTCATGTCTCTCAACAGGATTTATATAATTTTATTCACACACAAATAAAAGGAGAGATAAGATCCTTTTATTGTTAGATTGATGAACTGAAACTTCTAAAGCATCACAGAGTTTTCACATACCCACAAATTCAAATTTTTTTTCATGATTTTGAAACATAAAAGAATAAAACTGTTTTTAAATTCTGAAAATTTTTGGAATATTGAATTAATGAATATTGGTTAAAGTTTTGCGTAAAGTTTTTCAAAGACGTAGTACTTCTAAAGATTTTACGGTAGTACAGTTTTTTGAGTCATAGAATTAATATTGCTAAAGAAACTATGATTTCATATATATTCGAAGAATAAATTTAACAGTGATGCATAAGAATTAAAAAAAATTAACGGTTTTAAGTAAAAATGTAAGCAATTTTATTTTTAAATTGTGTAGAATCTACGAAAGTAGTAGAGTGGGTGAGTGGTAGTGTATCGCAATTCCTCCGCCACAGTTCGAATTTTCAAACTCCGGGCTGGGCAAGGCTGGCTCAGCCTTTCACTCCCTCAGTGGGTCAATAAATGAGTACCAAGCACGCTTGGAAACTAAACACTAGGCGGTTTGCGTCAGACTGACACTTGACCGGAACTTGAACTTGAGAAATGTACCTCAGTGCCCAAGTTCAAAAAATTGAGATGGGCACAGTAGGCTTTGGCTTTCTGGGAGTTATTGCGCCACTGAGAAAAAAAGAAACTACGAAGCCTCTAATCAATACACCTTATATATTTTCAAAAATAAATGATAGAGATGTTACTCAAAAGTGGTATCATAACAATTTGTTTAACTTTCACAGAACAATAAAATCTTTTCAAAAAGTTATCAATCTGATTATTTAAAACAAAAAATTATAGCATATTGCTTAAACATCGGGCTATTTTTTCAGTAGAAATTTTATTTAGATGCATTTTCCACGTCATTTTACTTTTTCAGAAAAATTTTATTAAAACAAAAGTATTTTTCTTTCAATTTGCTTAGGTAAAATAAATAAAAAAAATATCTAACAAGAAACTGGAGTCCGGTTTAAAAATTATTTAACCATAAGTTTAATTTTATTGATAACTAGTCTTATAAACATGTATAAGAAATTAATAAAGAAACCAATTTTTTTTTGTATACCTTTGAGTGAAAAAAAAACGTGGTTAAATTTGATGCCTTGTAATTAAGAAACCACAATACTCCTACTAGTGACTGCAATATTATTTCTAAAGAATAGCGAGAGAATAAGAAATGCTAATAAAATATATTAGTAAAAGTCCCATTAAATATTCTAAAAAATAAACCTTATTGATTTAAATGTACTACTTGATATCATTAAGGAAATTCGCAACGTGTATTAATTAATTTGTAAATAAAATTCTTTGTACATTTTGATACGATTGTATCTTTACTGTGTATGCAAAGCTATAAATATCTTCGAAGGTAAGCAATACTTGCCTTCTATTCAATATTCTGGTTAGTAAAAGACTTATAAATTCCATGGTAGAATATAATTACAGAAAAACACAGATTTTCTAATTTTGCAGATCCAAAACAAATATGTTATTATAGAAGAAAAGTATATATAATTATCTATGCAATTATATATATAGATATATTAACACTTCATAAGATTTATTTTCTTCATTAACCTAGCATATTAAACAACATTTAATAATTGAAAATATATTATTACCTTAGTTTTTGAAATTAGAAAATTTGAGAAGAAATTTTACATTTCTTAGTAAAGTAATTTTTTTATATGTTTAATTTGAGAATTGTACAAATGGCCACATGGTTTTATTGATGGCTCAATTTTGCGTAGATATGATGCTGAAGCCGATATTTTATTTATTTTCTTTTTGATTTTTTAGCTTTTACCTAGCAGTAAGTCCTTTTTCTCAATTCCTACTATTAACTCACTCTCTCCCTATATATATATATATCTTGTTCAAACTTTCAATGGTTAATAAAATACTTCCCATTCATCCATTCAATTTCAAATACATTTTTTTAAACTTGTAGTGGATGACACTTGGTGTTAATAAAGGGTTTTCAAATATTAATTCATTAATCAAATTAAAAATGAATAAATATTAACAAACAAAAACAATAGCCCAATAGCATAAATAGAAAGGATTTTTTTTGCGTCCCTGTAGCGCAATAGACAGCGCCTTGGATTTCTATTCCAAAGGTCATAGATTCGATCCCACCTGGGATGCCTAATTTCTGTGTGAATGAGATTTTTCTTATTTACTTTACTATTGTATTAGAATAATTCAATTTAATGAATAAATGAATGGTAAAAAACAAAAACCCAAAAAATGTCCAACTTCATAAATAGAAAGAAAAATGGAAAATTGCAAAGAAAATCGCTTTCTGTTTTGTCACTTAATATTGTGATTCTGTCATATGCATACACATATATAAATTATTTGTAACTGTTTAGTAAAAAGTAACTAAAATAAAAAATTTTCTTTGTTGTGACCTAAGTAGGAATTGACTGAATTATTTTTTTATATTACTTGTTACTGTACTGCTTTCGATGGCGAGATTGAAGCTATTACCATAGCTTTCGAGTACCTATCATTTAAAAGTTCAAAGATGCAACAGGACCGTAATCTTTTCCTACTCCAATTCAGCATTTCAGACTATATCACAAAATTACATTTGAAATTAACAAAGAATTTTGAAATACTGATCGTTTTAAAAAGACTCTCATCAAAAAATTTCTTTCCATTAGGTACCAGCACATTGTGGAATTGCTGGGAATAATCATGCAGACATTCTTGCTAAGATAGTAGCCCTTGTGATCCAAAGTCCCACAAGAATTTCACTTGTTTTCATTCATTAAAGCTTTTTACTAATGTAACCTTCAAATATAGTTTTAAACTGGAGAGACTGCAATACACCTATAATGCAATAAACCTATTGCAATTGAAATAAGATCAGATAAAGAAAAATGACACCTGATGTGAAGAAAATGACATCTTTTGACTAACTTTGTGTAATGACGTTATAAGTTGATAGCAAATAAAGAGTTTTAAAAGAAAAGATTGTTGTATTCTTTTCAGAGAATTTAAATAAAAGCTTGTTTTTAAAAAGTTTTTTAGTTTTAATTTATTTTTTTACTTTTTAGTTATCGCTGGACAGGTTTCTCAGTCTGTTCATCTCATTCAACGCATCATTGTTGCAAGGTCGTTTGCCGGTTAATTTTGAACAGGCTAGCTCAGGGGTACTCAGTCTTTTTTCCCGCCAGACCACCTTCATGTGACGGATATTTCACTCGAGCCGCAACAAGAGGACAGTGAGGGTGGGGGGAATGCTGTAATACCAAACAACATTCGACAAAGCAAAATTAATCAAAATATTAAAACTCCTTTTTTTTGCATTTACTATAATACTATATTAAAAACGAAAAAACACAAAATGTTTTTTTTAAAATCCGTAATTTTAAACCAATTTTTTTTTCAATCTTTGTGCATAATTTCGATAATACTATTCTACAAACGAAAAAAATGTTGCATGCAATTATCTTTAAAAATGAAGAGGTTTTTAAATGCTTTATTAAAAATTTGAGCATTTTTTGAAAAATCGTAAAAAAAAAGAAGTTTTTGACATTTATTTTTTAAATGACTGATTCTAAAAGAGAAAAGCCTGAACTTTTTTAGTACAGAATATCGATTAATTAACACACAGAAAAAATTCATACGGAACGCATCAATTTTGACTCATTTTAGAAAAAATAGTAAAAAATAGAAAATAATATTTTTTTGAAAAAAATTATACCGTATCGTAGTACAATAAATGATCTTTCCGACTATGTAATTATTTTTTGTCTCATTTGATAGACAGAATAAGATGGTTTTTTAAAAAAGGTCGAAAAATCGGAACTACTTTAAGCTCAATCCGATAAGCTGCTGGGCACAATAAAAAGATAACAGGAGTAAAAGGTTTTTAATTAATTGTGATATCGGAATATAAATGATCAAAACATGCATTTCCATCTAAACTAAACGTGTATACAAAATTTCAGCCCAATTGGTTGAAGACATCAGCTTCAAAAGTGAATTGCAAGATTCCACCCGAACATTTTACATTGCAAGTTAAATAAATAAAAAAATAAGACACCTTTTGGCATTAACTATTTTTTTCGGAATAAAAATAACAATCTTTCCAATTCGCTGAAAATGCCATCAGCTGAAAACTCAAATTTTGCTATAAAACTATTCGCCTTCCCCGCTAAAATACTCATCATTGAACTCGTGCTATCATATATCTTGGAAGAGTGCATTTCAAAGAATATTCCTGCTAAGTATCGTCAGTGTATTCGTACAAATTGTTATTCTCTGTATTTTTAAAGGGAGTAATACTTATAAGTACCTTCGGTAGATAAAGGGTTACCTACCTTGAAAACCCTACAATATATAAACTTCATAAAATAAGGTATTCAAATTATTTATTACAGAATAATATGATTCAACTTCTTTTCCCTCTAAATTACAGCATCATTTCAAAGAAATCAAATAAACAAAACAAAATACTTATCTTGCTTAGAATTGTTCTTTGGGGACGCTATTCTTATATACATTATCTAAATCCAAAAAGAATTCCGAAAAATCCCGATAAGTTGAAGACTCTAGAGAAGCCTGAGGGAAATAGAATTCTTTTCCAGGAAAAGGGGTGAAATGAGAATTTTCGGATAGATTTTTAATTTCTTTTTCCCAATGGGGCTACATCTTAGCAACTTAACCTTTGCAGACATGGCCCCCAAATATGTGAGCCATTTAATAGTAGCACTATCTAGTGGCGGCCTCGTTACCAAATTTGGAAGCTTGAATTTGTTTTTAATTCAAGCTCTCGCGGATGCTACATATTGCCGTGATTTAATTTTGCCGAGAATACCAGAACTAAATCGATACTCAAGGGATCTTTTACGTGCCACATAATCATATGACGTGCGTGCCTACGAATTTCGCATTTCAGAAAATCTATCGCCTCCAATTGGGGTTGACTCTGCAAACTTTGGCTCCTGAAGCGGGCACGCCACATCTAAGCACCGGAGCCGATTTTGTAAAATAAAGGTTTAGTTTTGTATATGAAGTGAGCAAATCATAATACTTTATTACCATAGAAATTGATGGTAAAATCCTAGAAGTGTAAGGATTGGACTTCAGATTAGAAAGTCTTAAAGATTGAAATAAATACTAATACTTTTTTCGGAGCTAATTTAAAAGTCTTTAATTATCAAGCTGATCATTATATCATTTGGTTATGATTATAGATGAATATTGAAATGGAAAGGAAGGTATATTATACCCTCTTAAAAAGTAAAAGAGCTAAACAAATGCCTGATGAAATGTATTCCATAAGAAACTGTAAAAGTACTAAACTAAAGATGATGCACAAAAAGGCCTATGAGTCACACAAAAAAATACATCAAAGCATAATAAGTACCGTAAAATCCGGCGTATAACGCGCACTTTTTACACCAAAAATAAGATCGAAATTTGAGGGTGCGCGTTACACGCCGGGTATAAAAAAGTGATAGCTTTAAAAATTAAAGAAAAGATGAGCATATAAAAGAAATTATACTTCTACATAGATCGAAATACTGTTCATTTAAAAGAAATGACATACCCCATGAACTTTAAGAATTGTAGTTCTATAAGTATGCCATTTTATTAAAAAGCCTAATGTAATACAACGAATAAATGACTTCAAAATATAAGAGCATTGTATAATTACATTAATCTCTTCGTAAAAAAGGGGGTGCACGTTATACGGCGAATATGCCTTTCAAAAAAAGCAGCTTGAAAATATAGATGCGCGTTTTACGCCGGATTTTACGGCACTTTAAAGACGTAAAACATGCGGCGGAGAGAATTTAAGAAAGAGAAGAACATTGTAAAATATTTTATTAAATCAATGCTTCTCAAAATTTCAAGGTTTTCGACCCAATTTTCAATCATAATTCTCATCGCCCCCCTTCATACAATAACAATGTATTAAATACAATAATAATGTAATCTGACGCACGCGCGGAGAAGCTGCAATATACTACTTTCAATATAAACCGTACAAATTATCAAGATAAGTATTAAATTTTGTATATGACATGCCCATGAGAGTCGCTAGTAATTACTAAACTTATTTTTAACCTAGTATTGATAATTTCAATATCAGATACATTGAGCACAACTGATACATTTAAAAGTATATTATATAAGTTTAAATGTGTATTTTATTTTGTAGGTAAGAATGTATTTTTTGTTTTGCTTCTTTTCAGTAAATTAATGATTTTTTTAAATAACTTTTTATTTTCGACTTTTCAATATTTTCGCGTGCCACACAGTTTGAGAAACGCTGCATTAAACAAAGCACTTGAAGACATGTTGTATCAAATTATTAAAAAACAAATAGTGATTAACTTATTTTTATGTATTAATGTATCAGAAACATACATGAATATTACTTTAAAACCTTTCAGCAATAATGTTTTTAATTTTCATATCGATTCAAAAGAATTAAAAGTATATATTGTTAGTATTTTCCTTTGTGTATATCTATCTATATATATATATATACTCATTGGCATAAAAATTTACGCACCAAGAAAAAGTCGTCGAAATGAAAAGAAAGTTTATATGTGTAAGTACTACTTTGATATAAGTAAAGAGATTAGAAAAAAAAGGATCATTTATTGGAGGAAAAAAGTACAGATGAATGGAAGTTTTAGTACTCTGTTGAACCCCCGCTCTATATATATTTAGCGCGAATGCACGATGCAATACTTGCGGGCATGGAGGCGTACAAGTTCCGTATGATGTCCGGAGATATCTCGTTCCACAGTTGCTGTAAGCGCTCCTCTAATTCGACCAAACTCGCAGGATGTCCAATTTTCCTTTCCAAATGATTCCAAAAATATTCAATTGGTAACAAATTTAGACTTCGAGCAGGCCAGGGAAGGGTTGTAATGGGTTGGAGGCAGTCTTGTGACCTTCTTGCAGTGTGTGGCCAAGTATTGTCTTGTTGAAATGATGGACGTACTCCTGGACTGTCATTGTGTCATGGATCAATGTTAAGTTTGACCGTGTATCTTAAGTAATGGCATTCCATACTATCACACCAGCTGTAGAAGTGGTGTGTCGTTGTAAAGCGAATGCAGGATTGAGGCGTTAACCACGGGGCCTCCGCACACGAATACGATTGTCCCCACTG